GCAGCTGTGCGGAGAGCGGAGCTCCCAGCGGGCCGGGGGAGGGAACCCACCGCCCACGGGCGGGGGAAGCTGACGGCGGAGAGCCCCGCCCGGTGGCGCGCTCAGGCTGGGCTGCCTCCCCCGCCACGTGATTGCCAGGCAATGCAGCCCAGGTGCGGTCGCTAGTGCTGCCCGCTGGGGCCCCCACCGGCTCGGGGGCTACAGTGCGCCGGGGGACCCGACCCACACCCAGCAGCGCTGGCCTCGCCGCCGGCCCCTGCCCCTGTAAGTGCAGCCTCGTTCTGCAGGGTGGGCTCGCTGCTCCGCGCCGTAGCCGCCCCCCTGCTCCTGAAACGAAACTGATAGTGAGCGATGGGAGCCGGGCCCGGGCGGGTCGGCTTTGCCGGCCCCTGCAAAGCGGGCAGCGCCTGCCTCGTTGTATGGGGGGTTCTTTAAAGAGCTGGGTCTTCACGGGACGCTGTAGAGTCCCTGCACCGGCGCTTAGGGCCGGGAAGGACACGAGTGCCAACTTGACGCTGGCTTCCTGAGCAGGCCGAGCGCTGGGTGTGATGTCTCTCTTAAAAACCCCACCTCTTGGTTATGTACAGTGCACAGAACACAAGCGATGCTAAATGATCGCCGGTAGCACAGGCGTGTAAGGGAGCAGCTCTCTACCGACCTCGGGCACCAAGGTTTTCAAGAGTTAGGAGTAACAGGAATCATTTGCCCTTGGGATAAATGGCCATTTAGGCAGCGTTTTGTTTTGCTATATAGAGTTTACTGTTTTGTAAAGTGCAAATACCCGTTTTCTTCAATATAAACTACTTGTATATGTTTGTGTGCTTGACAATTATTTTGTATGTTGTATTACATATAGAGTAGATTTTTATGAGGATAACATTATTGTTTGTTTTTTTTTTTAGATGGCATTCACAGTGCTTTCCAAGCAGAAGTAGTGGTGCTAACTTGTGATTTTATTGCCAGGCATGCAAAAGTTGATATTTTACTTTAAGGCCTCCTTCCCAACTAGAGAAAAATGTATAAGAGCAGTGCTTTTTATGTGATGGTACTGCCCGGTACACAGTACCAGCACCTCCATAGCTCAACAACTTTTCTCTTGAGCTATGTCCATATTGGCAAGATTTTACGCAAATACTTTTAACGCAAGAGTTTTTGCATTAAAGTATTTGCGCAAGAGAGCGTCTACACTGGCATGTGCCTATGCGCAAGAGATGTGCTTTTGCGCAAAAGCATCTGTGCCAGTGTAGACGCTCTCTTGCGCAAGAAAGCTCCAATGGCCATTTTAGCCATCGGGCTTTTTTGCGCAAGAAATTAATGTTGCCTGTCTACACTGGCCTCTTGCGCCAGAACAGTTGCACAAGAGGGCTTATTCCTGAGCGGAAGCGTCAAAGTGTTTGCACAAGAAGCACTGATTTTATACATTAGAACGTCAGTGTTCTTGTGCAAGTACTAGCAGCTAGTGTAGTCAGGCAGCATGTTTTTGTGCAAAAGCGGCTGCTTTGGCACAAAATCATGCCAATGTAGACACAGCCTTGGAGTACCAGCACTTTTTTTAAAACAAAAAAAGCACTGCATAAGAGTATCTATTGGCTTTCATCAAAGTACCACCAGAAGAAGCAGTGCAACTTTTTAGCTCTCATGGTTGTAGAGCAGGGGTTCATCATCATCATCAACAACCATGGGCTCAGTGCCCATTGATGTCCTATGCCTCCCTCACCATTTCCTTCCATCTTACCCTGTCCAGTGTGGAGTGGCTTAGTTTCTGTAGATTCGCTCCGCACCAATCTACTATATCATCTACCCATTCTCTGTGGGGTCTGCCTCTCCTATTCGGGCCATCCATTATGCCAAATACCAGGGTCTTAACCTTTCACTTGTCATTCATTCTGCAGATATGCCCAAAAGAGCAGGGGTTGGCAACTGTGTAGAAGTGGCATGCCCCAGTGGCGTGCCACCACGCTCCCCGGGGGGTGGGATGGGATCTCCAGTGCACGCCCTGCTTGGTCTCCTGCCCTGGACTCCCAGGCAGGGGGACGCTGCACAGCTCCCATGTCCTGCCTCCCCAGAGCATTGGGAAGGTAGGGTGGATAAGGCATCATGTGTGTTGCTTTGGGGAGGGGAGGAGCAATATGCATGCACTTCCCTGCAAGCTGGATCCTGTGTGGAGCCTTGGGGCTTTCCCCCTCCTCACAGGAAGCTGGTGCTTACTCCAATCTTGTGGAAGGTGTTACACAGGATAGCCAGCTTGGGCTTCCTGTTAACTGGTCAGGGAGAGCAATGAAGAGCCCGTTCATCATGCGTGCTACTGAAAATCATCTTATGTACCACTTATTGCATACGTGCCATACGTTGTCGACCTCTGTTGTAGAGAAAAGCTTGAAAATGCTTGAATGCCAGAGATCACATAAAGCTAACCATTTTTAGGGGAAAAAAATCCCATACTTTGAAAATCTGCCTTATGATTTTTGGGACATTTGGGGTTGGCAATACTGTAGAAGTGAAGGTGTAAGTTACTGTGTTTAATTTGTGCCAGAATAAATGTTTACCCTCAAGGAGTAAAAAATAATGCCACCCTGATCCTGCATTACTCACATATATAAAATTGAACAAGTGCGTAAGTGTTGAAAGATAAGGAGACAATTTCTGAAAAATGTTGTAGCTCCTGCCTTAACTTGTCCTGACATCACATGCGCAGAGGTGGATCTTTGTGCTTATATGGCAATGTAAGTGCCTGTATTCAGTATTATGTGGAAAGTATTATGTGGAATTCTGATCCTAATTGGGGCACCTAACTGCTACTGTAATACAAATAAGAATTCCATGCATGGACCAAATTTCCAATAGTTAGTTTGCAGTTTTATTAATTTCTTCAAGATTAAATCAGATTTCAGTGTACATGTGAGATGTGCAGATTAAGTCCCAGTACTGCAAAGATTTATGCACATCTTAGTTTTATTCATACTGCACAAATTAACGTTTGTTTAACTGTTTTCAGTATCAGAGCCTTAAGTTGTACACTGTACAAATCTTGGCATGTCTTGGTCTCAGATTATTACGTTATCCTGGATATTTTATATGTGAAAGTGGTGTGTTATTCTGTTTCCTCAGGGCTCAATGGATTTAACAAGTCAACCATGTTCCTTAAAAGATGATACTACTGTAAGTATTTTGTGTTATGCCATCCTGTAAGAATCTGTATTTGTAAAGGAAATCTCGGAATAAAGATATTTAGCTGGTGCTCGAAGATATTTTCTAGTAAAAGGCATCGTTTTTTCCTGAACAGGTCTGAATTATAACCTGTATCTCCTTTTTCTCATCCCATTAGTCACCTCTCTCCATTCTGAAAATTGACCATTTTTGATTCTTATCTTTTAAGTAGTTATCAGTCCATGAGAAGACCTTCCCATTAATCCCATGACAACTTATTTTACTTAAGAGACTTTGGCTACTTAAGAGACTTGTCAAAGATTTTCTGGAAATCCAAGTATACTATATCCATATCTAAGGAAGGATAGAAGGGAGAAAAGCAAAAGAGACAATGGATTTCAGGAAGGCGGATATTGGTAAGCTCAGAGAGCTGATAGGTAAGGTCCCATGGGAATCGAGACTGAGAGGAAAAACAACTGAGGAGCATTAGCAGTTTTTCAAAGGGACGTTGTTAAGGGCCCAAAAGCAAGCTATTCCGATGTGTCGGAAAGATAGAAAATATGGCAAAAGACCGCTTTGGCTTAACCACGAGATCTTGAATGATCTAAAAATAAAAAAGGAGTCATATAAAAAATGGAAAGTAGGACAAATTACAAAGGATGAATATAGGCAAACAGCACAGGAATGCAGGGGCAAGATTAGAAAGGCAAAGGCACAGAATGAGCTCAAACTAGCTACGGGAATAAAGGGAAACAAGAAGACGTTTTATAAATACATTAGAAACAAGAGGAAGACCAAGGAGAGGGTAGGCCCACTGGTCAGTGAAGAGGGAGAAACAATAACAGGAAACTTGGAAATGGCAGAGATGCTCAATGACTTCTTTGTTTTGGTCTTTACTGAGAAGTCTGTAGGAATGCCTAACATAGTGAATGCTAGTGGAAAGGGGGTAATTTTAGAAGGTAAAATAAAAAAAAGAAGTTAAAAATCACCTAGAAAAGTTAGATGCCTGCAAGTCACCAGGGCCTGATGAAATGCATCCTAGAATACTCGAGGAGGTATCTGAGCCCTTAGCTATCATCTTTGGAAAATCATGGGAGACAGGAGAGATTCCAGAAGACTGGAAAAGGGCAAACATAGTGCCCATCTATAAAAAGGGAAATAAGAACAACCCAGGAAACTACAGACCAGTTAGTTTAACTTCTGTGCCAGGGAAGATAATGGAGCAAGTAATTAAGGAAATCATCTGTAAACACTCCGAAGGTGGCAAGGTGATAGGGAACAGCCAGCACGGATTTGTAAAGAACAAATCATGTCAAACCAATCTGATAGCTTTAATAAGATAATGAGTCTTGTGGATAAGGGAGAAGCAGTGGATGTGGTATAC